CGGTAACTATAAAAACGAGCCGCGAGGCTCGAATAATCGTATTTCTTCTTCCCAAACTGTCCATTCTTCTGCGCGCGAATTAGGGAGAAATTACTATATTGTGGTTTCGAAAGCTATTCTGCAAACAAATTGTAGGAATTGTTTCTGAGAAAACTGTCAAGACTTTTGCATTTTTGACGAAAACAGTTCCAGGATTGCGAATGCCACTGTCCAAACAATTTTTAGGAATTGTTTTTGAAAGGACTACTAAATTTTTTGCATTAGATTCAGGCACATACATTTACGAGCGGACTTCTATAAAACGTAGGAAAATTCTATAAAATGTAAATTAAATAGAAATATATTTCTTCTGTTAATAACTCTAATAAATTAAGAAGAATGCAGAAATATACGTACAATTCCTACAATTTGTAGGAATTGTTTCTGAGAAAGCTGTTAAGACTCTTGCATTTTGACGTAGCTGTTTAAAGCGGTACAGTAATTTCTCCTTAATTCGCGCTGAGATTGCGCACACAAATGGACAATTTGCGAACAGGTGATACGATTATTCGAGTTTTGCGTCTCGTTTATATAATTGTTGACAATCGGCAAATATAAAAACAAGTATTTTCTAATTGTCAGTGTTCCATTTCATACAAGAAAATATTCCACATGAAAATGTGACAATGTTTGAAAAAAGATGGCAATGTTTCTTATATGAAATGGAACATTGACAATTAGAAAGTATGTAATAACTTCGAATATTGTCCTCCTTCTCCGTCGCGTTTGAATGTACGATGATCCATGCTCTATAGCGTGTCTCGTTTTGCGAATATTAAAAATATTTGTGGATGAAAATATTACGAGGACACGCTTTCACAGATATTTACAGGGGATGAAAATATTACGAGGAGACGCTTTCACAGATATTTACAGGGGATGAAAGAATTTACCTTGCTGGCAGATTGTTGCCAAACGCATCGAAGACACGGCGTGCGCAAAAATGTTGAACGAAAGCGTACGTAAAAGCTGTTAACGTTTTAGTAATTTTGATTATCGATTCTCGCAATTTAATCGTGGAACTGCATAGGTTTTGTTAGATATAAACAGTGCGAGATCATTTTCGAAAAACATAGAGTACGCGACGCGATGTTTTCGGTTCCGTATTAAAGACGAATGATGGGATCGCGTACGAAAGACCGATAAGCACGAAGCGCGGAGTACGTGGTCGAATCCCGGGAACAGCAAAACAATGCTGCAGTTCGCATAGTGCCGCTGCAAAACTACAACCCTCCGTTTCGTGTATTCGAACAATGTTCTGCTGTTCAGCATGTTTCCGACAAAAGTACAGCCCACTCGCAACCGATCTCGAAGCTGCGATTGTTGTTGTGAATGTTTTAATTAATTATCATAAAATATTCAAACGTCGACGCGAAGGAAACAATTATCGTGGACTGAATGATTACGAAAGAAATATTACGTTGTGCTAATTTTTGGACTATGGATTTTGGTGACGATAATTCTGTCAATTTATTTTTCTCATTGAAGTTGAAGACAGAATTATTTAGATTGTCCGGGATGGTCCAGGGTGACAAAGAAAGAGAAGAGCTTAGAAGATCTTTGACTGTGGTGGACGGTAGTTATTGGACTGTGGATTTTATGCAATTACGACGGAAAATGAATAGGAAGAAATTAAAAGAATTGAGAAATTAACGTCAAGAGTACCACAAATAAAATAGCATTTCTGAATGGCTCTTGTTTCTTACAGCAGATACAGACAATCTTTTTTTTTGTTTAACGTTTGAACGGCGGACTCAGACTGGAAAAATTGATGTCCGAATGTCGACTAATTTCAATTTTCGCATGTTTCGACAAACCTTATAGAAAACCTAACGTACCTAGAAGGAATACTATAAAAAAATATATTGAAAAAATTAATAAATAAAAAGATAATGGCCCACAGAGCTGGTGGCGGTGTAGTGTAGTAAATATATATTATTTACATATCATTATATATATTATCTATTTAAATAAATAAATAAAAACAATATAAGATAAATGATGGCAAGTATACCTAGTTATATTTTATCAAAAAGATCCGTCATTCTAGGGTTAAAGATTCACGGTACAGTAATTATTTCTGTAAGATATAAATGAACAATTTATCCGTTTGCATCGCGTTTCACTTCCAAAGATAGTAATTTCTCAGCAAAGTTACTCCATTGCTAGCCTCGGGTCCCTACGTGTACACCACTTTAGACACACCTCAAGGCATCCCAATATCTCTTCATTGGGTTTATGTTTCCATTTCGGCTAGAGTTACCGTTGCTTCGTAAATCAACGTGCGAAATAAAATACGAGACAGCACCTTTAGAATTTTTACCACGAACGAAATGCTTTGCTTTTCTGCTCGGAAATTACTCTGTGATTGTCCAACAAATCTCAATTACCGGATCCAAATCTTCTTTCCATACTGTCTCCGAATATAATAGCGAAATTCTGTACCTCTTGATCGTTCTATTTAATTGGACTCTATTCCGTTCCCCGCGGTTAACCCCTTGCCGTACATCGACGTGTCCGACTCGCGATGAATATTCCTAGTAATAACTTATCGAGTACAGATGTTATTCTGTCCTATAAAATTTGAATAAAATTCTAATCGCTTGTCATCGATATTGAAGCATTCGAGTAAATTTGGACGCACGATAAACGTCAATTTTCTTTCCCACCTAAGAAATTATGGCGGTAGAAAAATTTTCGTACAATTGCGGAGAAAATGGCAGGTCACAAGGGGTTAAAAAAGCCTCCAACAATATTACCACGCTAATACAATATCTCCGAGTACGCGGCGCAGCCCGTACAAGCAAATTATTTAAATTGAGTAGCTTTCAATTAAAAAAGTCTTTGATCTCAGCACATAATTGATGAAAACCCGCCAAGATCGTTCTAAATTACGTTCTAGGACCGTAAAATTTTTCTTTCGGTAATTAGGCGAAAGTTCGTCCAGAACTCTAGTCACTTTCGCGAGGTCTGCATGCTCATGCTCTCGACAACTCCGACAGCGAAAGGGTCATCCGCATCTTCATTATGGTAGTCACGCAGAGTTTTCATTCTTGCGGCAAGGCTACCTCATAAAACTGGAACCACCGGCTCCGTCGAAATGCCAGATGTCAGATTGCTTATTTAACGATCAAACTGTAAAGATGATTTCGTATTAGACGCGAAATATCGAGTTTACAGAGACTCAAAGGATTCGTGCTGAAAGTAATTGTTTTGCACCCAACAAGACTTTTAAATCGCAAACCATTCCAATCTGGCTTCGCATTAATATTATTGATGATACGAAGTGTCAGTGCGGTTGTTTGCAGCAAGATCTAAATCACGTCATATGTCAGTGTCCAGTATATGATTCCGAAAGAAATGCTATGACACGTAAACTTTATCAACTTAGTTTCCGCCCTCCTTACACGATAGATGCCTTTTTATGTAAACCATACATTCAACCACTGTTAATAATTTTTTAATTCCTTAAAAAGCACGACATACATTCTTAAACGTTAGATACAGTACTTGANATGCTCATGCTCTCGACAACTCCGACAGCGAAAGGGTCATCCGCATCTTCATTATGGTAGTCACGCAGAGTTTTCATTCTTGCGGCAAGGCTACCTCATAAAACTGGAACCACCGGCTCCGTCGAAATGCCAGATGTCAGATTGCTTATTTAACGATCAAACTGTAAAGATGATTTCGTATTAGACGCGAAATATCGAGTTTACAGAGACTCAAAGGATTCGTGCTGAAAGTAATTGTTTTGCACCCAACAAGACTTTTAAATCGCAAACCATTCCAATCTGGCTTCGCATTAATATTATTGATGATACGAAGTGTCAGTGCGGTTGTTTGCAGCAAGATCTAAATCACGTCATATGTCAGTGTCCAGTATATGATTCCGAAAGAAATGCTATGACACGTAAACTTTATCAACTTAGTTTCCGCCCTCCTTACACGATAGATGCCTTTTTATGTAAACCATACATTCAACCACTGTTAATAATTTTTTAATTCCTTAAAAAGCACGACATACATTCTTAAACGTTAGATACAGTACTTGATAAGTTTCATGTATCCAAAGTAATATGTAATAATATTGTATAATATACATATACGATATAATATATCGTATATGTAATAGTAATTTTGTAATAATATATTACAAAATATATTGTACTAATAACCCCGTAGGGGGTTTCGTAGCTTAATAAATAAAAGATAAGAGATAAAGAAAAGACCTCTAATTTTCACCTCAATTAACCTCGCACCTTTCCAGGCTGCATTCAATTTACGATTCCAATTTAAATTAATACAATCATCAGAAAACACAATTCGCGATCGACTGACGGCACCGACAACAATGCGAACAATATTTCTTTGACAGAATTACACGTCTCCAAGCAACCAGATTGCACTCGATTTATCGCACATGTTTCTCTCCTACGACACCATAATTCCTGACAAACGCGAATGACGCAAACGAAACTGCAAATCGCTTCTTTCATCGATAAATTTTTTATAATATTAATATTTCATATATTTATAATTCACAGTGATCGAACGAGACTGCAAATGCCTGCCTATCAAAAATCCGCACGGTTTACCACAAACTTAAACATTCGATTAACCAATACCACCGCCAACAACGCTCCGAACATTCTTCTCGTCGCAACTGCATACTTCCACGATACTAAAACATTACCCTGCCTACGATTCAGCAAACGCTTCGATGAACTACCCCGACGATACAATCCCCGTCTAAACTACCCCGAACGAAAATATTCCCGAAAGATGACCCGCCGATAGAGCCTAAAAGCCGGTCGAGATCCCGCAACCCTATCCCACTGGCAACATTTCTAAACGAGTCATCATCCACTTGTTCACCGTCCTTCGGGGTTTGACCTCGCCCCGCAGGACACGCGAGCAACACTGTAGCCGCTATAGCACACGTTTAACCTGGTACACACCTTAGTGTAATCAAAGAAGGTTCCTCAGTCGGTCGGCGCCTCCGCTGGAGGGTAGTAGCGAGAGCATTAGCTCGCGAGACGTCGGGTGATAGCGCCGCGTTGCCTCCTCGCGTTGGTGTCTCGGCTGCCTAGGAGAAGGGTTCGTTCCGGTCGGAGGAGGTTGAGAGGGGTCGCTGGACCGGCGGAGCAACCGCTGCTCTATCGGCCGGTATCGCGGCGGAAAATGATCGCGATCTTCGGGCAGTATCGGCTGTTCCTGGGGGCCGGAGAGCAGGCGAGCAGCGCGGATGGGGTACGCGGTCGCGACTGAACGTCCCCGGCGCGGCGTCCGCCAGAATGTTGCCGCTTGTCTAATAACGGCGGCGAGAAGCAGCGGGCTGCGCCGAGCGGTTGCCACGGTTCTCGCGACAGAGAAACCGCGGGAAAGACAGGGAAAGACCGAGGAGAATGCACGCAGGATCGAGCGAGAGTGGCCGGGCTTCTCGCGGGTGGGACCGAGAACGAGAGTGTCGGAGAGTGCGTGGAGCTGTCGCGCTGGAGGCGAGAGCGAGAGCGAGCGAGAGAGAGTGGGAGAGAGAGAGAAGAGAAACAGAGCGGGAGAGAGAAGAGAAACAGAGGGAAAGAGAGAGACTCGCCAGTGCGAGCGACCGGGAGAGAGGGTTGTTCGAGAGGGTAGAGGCAGCAGAGGGTAGAGGGTTGGGTCGTAACGCCCAGTAGCGTGCGAGCGACAGAAACGGGCTGCGATTCTTCGGCTCGAGAATCTTAAGGGTTGAGCTTGAAAGGAAAAATTCGGGAGCGGCGGCAGCCAGGCTGCTGCGGCGCCGCGTGCTGAGGCTGAATCGGTCGGGAAAATTGGGGGATGGAGACGCCGAGGACCGGGCTTCGATACAATCCCGCTTTTTCGGCCACTGTAATTATTGCGCCAGGCATCCATGAATTGAAATCTTCCCGGCGGACAATACGGACGAGAAGTTCGGTTGGCGGGTTATTGGTCGTCGCACGGTTGTTGGATTTCACGGATTTTATGGTAGATCTTCAATGGTTCCTGGATTTTCGAAGATTATAAGCCGAGGAGATGTAGCTGGAGAAAAATATGGTCGCGGATGTTTGGAAGCGTTTCAGTTGTTTTAGAATCATGCGTCGGTCATATTTTTGGCATTGTGGGAAACGAAGGGTGTTATTGTTTACTAACGCGTGCATCATTTAGCGACCAATTTGTTGTTCAGATGATTTGCTGTAGCAACTTTATCATTTACTGCGGCATGTACAGATCACGTTTTAACCATTTGGAGTATGATTTATTTTTCGTTAATTTGCGTTATNTTCATTGTACCGGCGAGAACCTATTAGCGCATGGTACAGAAAGGCATCTGTTCTGTCGCACTGGACAGATTTTACAAGAGAAGGAAGAAATGTGATTGAATTACTAAATTCGCGTCGTAGGTTAAATGGATATTAACTCTTAACCCTTTGGAGTATGATTTATTTTTCGTTAATTTGCGTTATATCTGAAGTCAATGTTTACGTACATGTAGATGCTAAGGGCTGGGACATATGTGTCTCATTGGTTACACGTAAACAAATATGTGCGTGGTATGCATTCTAAGGCTAGTATATTCGTGTATTGTGGAGAAACGGAATTCATTTCTACCAATAGGCGTATGAAACACGTAGGTGGGACACGTATGTCTCGATAGACTCCAAAGGGTTAAGACATAAGTTAGAATTCTCGAAAATCTGACTTACGCCGCTATATGATTCTAACCCACTTATTTATCGATTTATTTGTCAATTTTTCTGCGCGTACTTTATGGGGTGCTCCTTTTAAATAAATTAGCCTCTCTGTGGACATTAATGAAACGAGAGAAAATTTTAATTAGTTGCGAGAACTTTGAACGTTTGGTTCTGCGGAGACGACACTTTTTGAACGAATCTGTAAAAGACAACATCTAGGCACGATTGTTTATCAATGCTTTCTTGATAAATGAATTGTGCTCGGGTCACGTTGGTGCAACTAAAAATATACGTGCATCTTTTTGGAAACTGTAGCATAATACGATGTTGTTAAGCTCATTATACAGGGTATAATATCAGGGTATAATATCAGAGTATAATATCACCACATATTACCACTGCGATGTACATGACCGTTATTATTCATAGCGAAAAATCGTTCTCGTAAAGAGTTGTGTAGAAAAATTCTCCCATCACGTCTTCCGATGTTGGAAGAATATTTTCAGCACATGAATTCATTTTATCTGATAAAAGGAAATTTACAATTGATAAATGAAAACATGGGAAACTAACAATTCTATACCACGTTATATTGTATTTTATTAAATTGTAATTTAATTTTTCAATAAAGTTTGTTTACATTGCACATATTTTTTGCGTATACTTCGCATATTCTTTACACATTTTGAAATATAAAATTTGCCACATATAAACACATTGGTTTCCTTATCGCGAGCAAAGAAAAGGCTTTATACGCCATAGCTTCGGATGAAAATTCACTAATTTTCTTTTCGTAGACTTCTTTTCGATCTTTAGCAATGATGTACTGGAGAAATGACACAAAGCCACTGTTTTTAGCACTTGACTCTTCGAAAATAGACGCTTTCGATAGTTGTGCATAGCAGGCGTTCATTTAGGCACTTGTTAATTAATTAATCCTTTGGGGACGAATATCGACCTATTAATAGCATCAAGGTTGCACGTCTTATTCCAGTAGTTGCAAGCATATGATTCGCTTATTGGGGTACATTAATCACTTTTCTCATTATTCAAGTCTTTGATGCATGATCCTAATCTCTTTCTTCTTAGCCCTTTAAAAAATCCTTGCCCATAAAGGGTAATTTGTCTGAACTCGTTGATTTACTTATACAGAGTGAAATATAGTCATTGCCTTTTTGTAGATACGATTTTTAGAAATGGTTTCCTGGAGGAATACGAAAGCACTATTTATAGTACTTGTTGATGGTTGTACAGAAGACAAATTTAGATTCACTTGAGCAATGTTTATTAATTTAAAAAAAAATGTATTCTTACTAATAATTTGACGAAGTTTATTGATTTTATGTAAACTGACCGATTTCCATTTGTTTGCAAGATATACTGCATCAAAATGTGAACTTGTAAATAAAACGGAATACAGTAAATTCTTCCTAATTTTTCCTTCGGCTTGTAAACAAAAATGGACAACTTGGGAAGAGGAGATGCGTTTATTTGAATTATATACCTCGTCTTTATAATTGTTGACAATCGAAAACTATAAAAATGAGCAGCGGGGCTCGAACAATCGCATCTCCTCTTCCCAAATAGTTCTCAATAGTCCTAAATTTGTGCGCAATCTGTGCGCGAATGAATTGGGAAGAAATTACTGTATTTTTGGAGCCTCTCTTCTCAGTCCCTGCTTCCGACGCAGTCGGAAGGACATTGTTTACAAGCTGAAGGAAAATTGGGGAGAATTTACCGTACATTGATTTAGCGGTTTGTGCATATACAATCGGAAATAAGTACGGTATCATTCTAACGTCTTTTACGCTACCAATAAATGCTGAGAAAATTTGAATTTGAATTTTCAATAATTATGTTTGAATAATTCGAGTCATTTTTTGAATAATTTTGGATATTAATAAAGTTGTATTTTGAAAACATCAAACGAACGAGGCTGTCTCTGTTCAGACATTATAAATTTATGAATAACACCACATTCTCCGTTGATAATCATTTTTTTTCTGAATGCAACTTTCACGTATTTTCCTCCTTAATTTTTTTAAGTAATAATTCTGAGTTGACAATTCAATTAATTAGAATTAAGTAATTGTACTTTAATAATAATTTTGAGCGACGCGATTATTATAGTCGCAAACAGTGTAATTGAAATACTTTGTAAAATACTTAAGATGAGAGTGGAAGGTAAGACCGAAAGGAGGGTAAACTTGGCGAATTGGGTGAAATTAGCGAAGTTTGCGAATCGTAGAAAAGTGGGATTGGCGCGTAATTACGTTTTTGGGAACTGCTTATTCATTCTGTCGTTCGCGTGCAGCTTGACAGTTTAATTGTCCAGAAAATTATTACGCTAGTATTCGAAGGAACATTTTGTTATGTTTAATTAATAGTTTTGGATTATTGTGTCCTACGTGATCATGCACGATGTAGATGCACGAAAGTCCGTTGTTTAGCGACTTTGTGCAAACGGGCGAGTGAAAGGATTTCATGGCAGCTTTGAATCCTGAGAACATTACCTTTGTAGAGGTAGAACGTTGATAGTATTTCAAGGGACGATTGAAATTATATTCCAATTTCAACACTGTATAAATTGACAGTTTTCGAAATTAATCACCAGCGGCTACAATTGCTAGAAGAAGATATTACAAATGCAATTTCTACTGTTCAATTTCTACTACAATTTCTAGCGTAATTCCTGCTACAAAGGGTTCAGCAATTATGAATCCGTTAAACGCAGAGACGTAGGAGTACCTTATTAATTAAATGAATATATTGTAATAATAATGTATGTCGTTTCATAACAATGACATTATTCGAACTTTCTACAATGTTGATTATAAAAAGTAAAAGAAAAATGTGAAAGAAAAAAAATAGGAAACCAGCCATTTTGATTGGTTTGATAGTCTCAGTATCAATGCAAGTTTTCCTTAAATATTATAATAACTTTGTACCATTCCGAACTCATTAGAATCATTAACCACTTGCATTAGAATAACCATGATTTCTTTCACTGCTACATTGATTAATACTTCTTTACACCTTTAATATTGTCCCTAGTGGAACAAGACAATTCTTGTTTCTTGTAAAGTTCAGTTTTTATGAAATGTCGTTTCGATTCGGAAGAAACAACGAATAACATTTGTATTTGGTAGATTATGCATGAAATCTTTATCCCGACTCTGACGCGTTATAGTGCACAATTAAGAAAAGAGTTACATGTCTATGTAGTTCCTACGTCTTACAATTACTGTAGACAACTCTTATGTTGCACAAAGAGCAGTAGTTTGTCCCAATAACGATACAAAAAGCATAATTTTCTATAGATTTGTAAACAGTCTTATTTTCGAAGCATTTTCTGAAATAGTCACATCGAACTGTGAACCTGCAGAATCAACATGAAAACGGAATACAATAATTTCTCTCGGAAATGCCAAATTTCGGGTTGCTGTGAATTTCCCTGTGGTGTTTTAACGCCTATTTGATTTATTGTTACGTCAATGCTAAGGGTCGGAGCACGGTCAAGCTACGGAGTCGGTCAAGCGTGTGATGCGACACGCGACACGAATTCTCGGAAGTCAACACCAAATGGTCCGTTTGGAAGTGAGTCAGGTAAGAAAAATCGCGGAGCTATAAGGTACGT